TATCCACATACAACATAATGAAATCCAACCCTAATCTTACACCAGGCACAAAAGTAAAACTCTTAGACGAAGACAGAAAAGGTGAAGCTTTATGACATTGGGCTTGGTAATGATTTCATGGATATGACACCACAAACACAGGAAACAAAAGGAAATTTAAGTAATGGGAATACATCCAATTAAAAATCACATCACTTGAACGGTCATTCTCCAAGAAAGACATGCAAATGGATGTATGTCTTTAGAGAACAGACATTGGAGAACTTGGAGAACAGTCATTCTCCAAGAAAGACATAAGGTATGGAAAAATACTGAACATCGCTAATCATCAAGTAAATACAAAACTAAAGCATTGTTATATATTAGACGCTGGGGCGCCTGGGCGGCTCAGTCTGTTAAGTGTCTGACTCTTGGTTTAAGCTCAGGTCATGATCTGGTAATTTGTGAGACGAGCCCATGTAGGGCTGTGTGGAGCCTGCTTGGGATTCTGTCTCCCTCTCTCTCTGCCCCTTCCCCACCTGTTCTCTCTTGCCTCCTCTCTTCAAAATAAATAAATAAACTTAAAAAAATTAAGTACTGGAAAAAATATGTATTCAGTCGATATTAACGTGTAGTGAATTATTCCAGAACCATTTTTTTTTTTACTAGTGAGTAAATCACCATGAGAATTTTGAATGAGTAGATAATTGGAGCATATTCCCCTGGGGGCATACCTGTGGTTTCATCAACAATTGAGTGATTGGATATAAGCAATATGAATTAATCATATTCATGTTGTATCTACTCCTGCTTTTGCTGTTCTACAGGTAAGAGAAAATTTCAAGTCATTTGTAGAATATTTTAAGAGGTGGGATCTAAAATATCAAGGTCAAACATGTTATGAAATCCCTAATACTAAACCATTTAGTTTTTGCCTGTTGCACAGGTGAATAAGACAACAAAGAAAATAGCAACTAATGAACTTATGTTTGTAGAGTAAAATAAGGGTGCTCTAAATTGAGAACACTTTCATTTTCCTGATGGAAAACAGAGAAATTTCGAGCAAAAACAATTAGGAAAATGTATCACTGAAAGGCAAGAAAACATTTGGCCTATTCACCACTCTGGGAGCTTTTATTTTGCTATAATGAGGAAAACAATCAATTACCTTTTTATTTTGTTAGCTTTGTGAGGTCAAAGCCACTTCAGATTATTGCCATTTCATAATGTTTCTCTAATCTTAATGTTTAAAAATTATCTAAATATTTATCGAGAATCATATTGTATTCTACTAGCAGTTGCACGTGAGGAGGTCCGTTACAGAACGAAGCCATGATATTACAAGAGGTAGTATAAAATGGTGAAAAGTGCATGCACTCTGAGTGGGGCATGGGAGTGAATCTGGGCTCTGAGACTTATCTGTGACAATTGCTGTAAGACTGAAAAAAAAATAGTACACATAAAAGTCTGTTCTGGCTACATGTGCTCAATACACAGCTATTAATTTTCTTCATTTTTAAAAACAGTGCTTCAATGCTGAGCCAGACATATTTGCAAGTTTTCTGCCTCTAAGTTGTACTTTTAAAGGTGACTTTACCAGAATTTTAACAGTTGACGTTGTATTAAATTCTTCCAGAATCTTAGTTATTTTTCCTCTGTCACATGGAGTCCTTTCAGTCTTCTAATATTGACATGCTTATATTCAGTATGCATTTTATCTGGACATCTAGTAGAAATTCCTATTTCAAGGGAGATTTAGCTAAAGTTCTTAACATTATAGTCTTTCCTTATCCTTTTTAAGTCCCAGTAAATTTAAGTCCACTGTAAAGTAGCGAATGGAAATGTGATGATCTATGTATGTATTTTTGGTATCAGCAGATCATACAATTCACAACACTTCTTTACTCTTTAAAGAATAATCCAGGGGCACCTGGGTGGCTTAGTCAGTTAAGCGTCCGACTTTCACTTAGGTCATGATCTCGCGGTTCGTGGGTTCGCGCAACCGCGTCGGGCTCTGTGCTGACTGCCAGCTCAGAGCCTGGAGCCTATTTCAGAGTCTGTATCTCCCTCTCTCTCTGACCCTCCCCTGCTCACGCTGTCTCTCTCTCTCTCTCCTAGAAATAAATAAAAATATTTAAGAAAAAAAGAATAATCCAGATACTTAAAGAGTAAGAAAATAATAACATAATTATAATAGAAGTCATTGGATTTAATCCTGAGAGGATAATGCTTTAATGTGTATTAACAATTACTAAAATAGGGGTTCCTGAGTGGCTCAAAGTACTAAGTATTCGACTTCTGCTCAGGTCATGATCTCACAGCTGGTGAGTTCAAGCTCCGTGTGGGTTCTGTGCTGACAGCTTGGAACCTGAAGCCTCCTTCAAATTCTGTTTTCATCTCTCTCTGCCTCTCCCCTGCTCTCTCACTCTCTCTCTCTAAATATGACATTAGAAAAATAATCACTAAAAAATATATCACATGTAGCTGAAGAATGAATTATCTGGCTCAGGACTCTGGAAATGTATACTTTTCAGTGATTCCTTAAAATATTAATTTTGTGACCCAATATTTGCTAATGTTTTAAAAAGTATATCTGATTACATTCAATCATATGGGGATCTTAAATTTGTTTTATGTATTTCTTGTTTTATACATTTAAATAGTCAGCTGGCTGTATTTTATTATATTATTTTGTCTACTTCATCATTCAAATACATTACTATTTTTAAGAAAAGTAAACTTTGGATAGAAAGCCTAACATCATACATGGCTTTTAATCATGAACCTGGCTGAGGTAGCCTGGGTGTCTCAGTCAGCTAAGCAACCAAATTCGGCTCAGGTCATATCTCACTGTTCCTGAGTTCCAACCCTGCATCAGATCCTCTATCTTCTTCTCTCTCTCTGCCCTTACCCTGCTTGTGCACTCTCTCTCTCTCTCAAAAATAAAATAAACATTAAAAAAAATCCTGATCCTGGCCGATGAACACCTGCTTTCAGATTCTAAATGTTGTCTTGTCTTGAACAGGGCATATCATTGAACTGATCGCAAGAATTGTATTTGGGCTGATATTTTTCTTGTGACTCCCAGTCACACTTAAAGAAATAGACTTCATCATACTCATCAAAGTTTGTATTACATTTCTTTTGATTGTGCTTATAACTCATGTACATAAACTCTTTTACCCTTTGTCTAAATGAACACTGTACCAACATCTGTTCAGCTATATGAAGTTTTCTCAATCAAGTTAAGACATTTTAATTCAGTTATACATTTAAAAGCATCTTATAATAATAGAACTACTTAAGAATAGCTAGTTAATTAGAGTACATAGCTTGTGGGTCTAATTCATTTTGTTTATATTTTTATTTTTAATACATAAGAGTCAACCTAAAATCTGCCTTCTTGATGTTTTGTATAAATTTTTTTCTTTGTTTTCTTTGTCTTTTATCTCTCCAATAATCCTATGGAAATGCTTTCTGATGATATTGACAGTTTTTCTAGGCATGATTTATCTTTTCTAGAAAGTTTTTGGGATGTGCCTCCTTCTGCTTCCATCATTATTTCCAATCCAAATGGCTCTTTCTGTTACTGATGGGATCCATGTTAATGTATTGAAACAAAAGCTTGACTTCCATTATGAATTTAAATAGAATACACATTTTTATTAGCAACAGGTCATGTGCTCTGAAGACTGACTTGAATTTCATATGAGTATTTAAAAAAACAGAAAGAAAGAAAGGAAAGAAAGAAACAAAGAAAGAAAGAAAGAAAGAAAGAAAGAAAGAAAGAAGAGAAAAGGAGAAAGAGAAAGAAAGAAGGACAGAGACAGGAAGGAAGGGAGGAAGAAAAAAAACCCTAAAAACTTACTTCAATAAAATTTGTCCTCAAACTTGTGCTATATAATTGAAACTCTGGATTCAGGTACAGGTTTGACTCTGATTTTTTTTAATAGTGGGGTTACCCACGAAAGATTTTTTTCATTTTTTTTCATTTCTTCCTACTTTTTTTGCTCTCGAATATGCTGTTTTGATGTATGCATTGTTTATTTTTGTTGTTATACTTGAATTACTATTTTTTTAATGAACTGCTTTAGTTGTGACTCTTAGATAATAAATATCTAATTGTTATTTCACTAGGTAATAAATAATACATGGATAAGAATAATACTTAAAATGTATTAAATATATTTCAGAATAATTCTTCCTTTTTGCAGCCCAGTTTTTGAAAGAGCCAACAGCTTATAGAATTTAGATATCCGGAGTAATAATATGACCAACCATCTCATCAAAGAAGGACAGTGTGATGTCAAGTGTTTGAGAAATACATTTGAATGAAATATAAATGGTCATATAATTGCTTATTTTAATTGTGTCCTATCATCCTGAAAAATAATTGTAATTAGTTCTGTCAGATACACTCAAGATCTTACAGAGCTCGAAAAACTTTAGAGATTATTTCATAAAATATTACCACTCAAAAGTCTGCTACTTTGTAGATCAAATCTAATTTAACACATTCTATTTTAACATAGTTTTAAAGATTCAATCTTATTAACATATTTTGTCTTTCAGCATTTTCTCCAATATTGTAAAATAAGTACTAACATTCTCATTCTACAGGTAAATAGATTATAGCAGACCATTTTATACAATTACTGAAAGGTCTAGAATCCTGAGATTTTGTTCCAGTGTCTGTATACTGATAAACTTTCTCATATGTATAGATGTCAAAGGAAATCATTGTTTAGCCAATCACTTGGCAATTTACTGTGCGTTATTACAAAACAGCTAATAAAATGCAGTGGCAAATTAGCCAGTTGACATGATCATTTTAGAAATGAAAGTAATTCAATCCATGAGTGAACACCCATATTTTCCACTTGATTCTGCAGTGAGTGGCATGAACACTTGACCCACCATCTTGTCACTGTCTTCTGATCTGCAACTGAGAAATTTCACATTGCCAAAAAATGAATGTGAGGGTATACCTCATGTTTTCTTGAGTTAAAATAGTGAGTCACAATATTATTTATTCTTTTTCTAGTGAATAAATTATTATTTTCTGAATGTCTTCAAGTTTGTTCCATGAAGTATCAACATGAAGAATGTCACTGAAGTTACTGCATTCGTACTGAAGGGCTTCACAGACAAACTTGAACTACAGATCATCTTATTCTTCCTGTTTCTAACAATCTACCTCTTTACTCTGATGGGAAATTTAGGACTGGTTGTATTGGTCATTGGGGATTCCCGGCTCCACAATCCCATGTACTATTTTTTGAGTGTGTTGTCATCTGTGGATGCCTGCTATTCCTCAGTAATTACCCCAAATATGTTAGTAGATTTCATGTCAAAGAAGAAAGTCATTTCATTCCTTGGATGTGCAACACAAATGTTTCTTGCTGTTACCTTTGGGACCACAGAATGCTTTCTCTTGGCTGCAATGGCATATGACCGCTATGTAGCAATCTACAACCCTCTCCTGTACTCAGTGAGCATGTCACCCACAGTCTATGTGCCACTCATCGTTGCTTCCTTTGTGGGTGGCATTTTGCATGCTTCTGTACACACAGTGGCCACATTCAGCCTGTCCTTCTGTGCATCCAATGAAATTAGACATGTCTTTTGCGACATCCCTCCTCTCCTCGCCATTTCTTGTTCTGACACTCACACAAACCAGCTTCTACTTTTCTACTTTGCGGGATCTATTGAGATATCTACTATACTGATAGTCCTGATCTCCTATGGTTTCATTGTGTTGGTAATTCTGAGGATGCATTCTGCTGAAGGAAGAAGAAAAGTCTTTTCGACATGTGGTTCTCACCTAACTGGTGTGTCAATTTTTCATGGTACTGTTCTCTTCATGTATGTGAGACCTAATTCCAGCTATGCCTTTCATCATGACATGATCGTGTCAATATTTTACAGCATTGTGATTCCCATGCTGAATCCCATCATCTATAGTTTGAGGAACAAAGATGTAAAAGAAGCTATGCAGAAAGTGTTCAAGAAAAATTGATTTATCAATGATGCATATTTTACAGTAAAAATTAAATTAAAAAATGAGAGTGATGTTCTGCACTTCAATATCAAGAAGATATGATGAAAATATTTTTAGTTTATTAATGTATTTTTGTCTCTCTGGATATTTTAAAATAAAGGTCAGAGGAAACACTCTACTCACATTGTTTTCATATGGAGAATATACGTATCATCCATTTGCTTTTTAGTATGTTCCTGCTGATACATGTATGCACACACACATAAATATATACACACATATTTATATGTAGAAGCTATACTAATGGATACAATACCAATGCACACATAAGTATATATGTATGTAACCTTTACTTTAGAATGTTACATGCTGTTTTCTTTAATCTCCATATTAATTGAATGTATAGACTACAATGTTTTCAATTACAAATTCCATTACAATGATATCTGACTAGCTTGATCAACTTCCATCTAATTGGTAGCAAAGCCACATCTCACATAATCCCAATCTACTTTCCATGGTTCATTGGTTTAGACTCTAGTTCAAAGTACTCTGCTCCATCTTTAGATTTATGCATTAGCAGCAATCCAATCCCAGTTTATGGATCAGGGAACGTAGATAATATGTTCAAATCTCTGGAGTTACTAACACTCTGCGAGGATGCATTCCCTCCCCCACCTTTTTTTTTTTTTTTTTTTTGTCCAGAGCATGGGGTATTCAACCAGCTTTAATTTCTCATAGAAAACAAGGTCTAAGCACTAGCATCTTTCAAGATCATACTTATATTCAAGAGTGACAAAAATCAGCACCTGGGTTTGCCAGTTGGCTAAAGGTCCAACTCTTGATTTCAGCTCAGGTCATGATCTCATGATTGGGCTCTGCTCATATATAAATATGAGGGTATACTTCATGTTCCTACAGGTATGTATGTTCATGTATATATGTATATACATTACTGAAATAAAAAATTGTGGACCATAATTGGGAAATATATATGTATATATACGTATATGTATTTATGTGTATATATATACATATATATTTTTTCTAATTATGGTCCACAATTTTTTATTTCAATAATTGTAGAGCCTAGACTGTGACACACCTTTTTTAGGTATTAGGAATTTGTTAGATATTAAGAACATCAATATGAAGAGGAACACTGCATCCTTCCCTAAGGTTGTGAATATTCTAGAGAATGAGGTGCAAGTTGTCACTATTTCTTTACCAAAGTTAAAAACACATTAAAGATACTTGACAGAGCTAAAAACAAACTCTCATATTTTGTTTCAGAATTCTAAGATGAATATTTTATCCACTCATTCACTTAATCTTCATTCATTCCATCAGTCAGTAAGTCAGCAAATAACTTTTCAACACCTACTCTTTCCTGGGTATTATTTTAGAATCAATTAATAAAAAGGCAAACTATTTAGACTACCCTTTTCACTTAAAAATCTTACAGACTAGAAAATCCCACACAAACAGTAAAATAAAATATTATCACTATTTAATTACAATATTTATACCTATGTGAGGAAAGATCACAAAATAATATGAAAAATGCAATTTCCATCAAATGATTTTAATTAAAAGCCAACAATCAGACAAGGCTTTCTGAATTTCAACAAAACAACTGATAATTAGTCTTCTTACAGTGATGCACGTTTTGAATGTATGCTGTATATCATTTGATTTTTATAGCAAATAACATCAGAACGTGTTCCTGGCACCTGAATGGAGGCTTTGGAGTCAGTTCTATTCTGAATATTCACAGCAAAATGGAACATTGGGGCCAGAATCCTGTGCTTTCCAACTGTTGGATTTTCTCCACTTCAGGGCCAGCAGTCACTCTTCCCAACCAATACAGGGGAAGTCATTGCACGTGATTGTTACTCAGTAGGATCACCTACGTGTGTCCCTAGGCTAACCCCACATTTTCACTCTAGGGAGCAAGTGTTGTGTGGAGACTTGAATGTTTGGTCTTTCCTTCCCTGGGGAATCAGAACTTTACCTGGGATTCCTGTGTTCATGTGTGGGGACTGGAGCCATAAACAAGCTTAGTTCAGTGTGTAGGTCTTCAGGGACTTCACACACTTGTAAAACTCTTAAGAAGACCTCCCGCAGAACCTCAGAAGAGGGTCTCAGCAGATCTCTGTGCACAGGTGGGTTCAACCCAACAATTTATTTCGTACTCATTCTGGGTATGAAGACCAAGTACTTGGGGAGCTTTACCGATTCAAAGCAAACTTGGGACTGAAATGATATCTGCTCTATTCTCTTTTCCTGAAGACTCAAATCTGTGCTGTCTGTTGGCTAAATGGAAGGGACAGGGAAATGACTCAAACAATGGTATCCAGCATCCCTGTTGATAAATTGGACTGTGTGAGCATTTCTACAGAATAACCAATAGTCATTATGAAGTGTCTATTTCAGCTAAGGGTAAAGAGGAATGCTTTCTGCCTTAGAGCTGGCAGAACTGAAGGCACTCCACACCACAAAGGCAGCATATGAGGTGTCTTTGAAAGACAAGATTTCTTCCCCAAGAAATACCTACTAAATTGTTTAATATCAATAAAAGTAAGTTACTCTCCTTTCTGATTTTCACATTGCCCAGGGTGACAAACCATTTGGTGGAAAGAGTCCCTGATGTGAACAAGCCGGTTTATGTTGTGGTGGGCACTGAGAGCTCATATCAAGATGCAGTTTGTTACTAACATAACTTGGGATTAAATAAATGTAAGAAAATTGTACAGTTAGAGACCAATATTGAAATCATTTCAGAAGCCATTTAAAAATTGTGCAGTATTATTTCTCAGCCATACTGTTATATAAATGACTCATATTAGGTAAATATTTAAAGTTCCTTTACTGACATGTTATTATTTGTTAGACTTATAAAATACAGTAAAACCTTGCATTGCGAGTAAATTGTTCTGTGAGTGTTCCCTAAGTCAAGCAAACATTTCTAATAAATTTAACTTGATAAACAAGTGATGTCTTTTTTTTTTAATTTTTTTTTTTTTATTTCTAGGAGAGAGAGAGACAGCGTGAGCAGGGGAGGGTCAGAGAGAGAGGGAGACACAGACTCAGAAACAGGCTCCAGGCTCCGAGCTGGCAGTCAGCACAGAGCCCGACGCGGGGCTCGAACCCACGAACCGCGAGATCATGACCTAAGCGAAAGTCGGACGCTCAACCGACTAAGCCACCCAGGCGCCCCAATAAACAAGTGATGTCTTGCAATACAAGTAGTACATGATGCCGAACATTACACGATCACAACTAAGCCCATAGTTCTTCTATCTTCTCTCTATCTCTCATTGAGGGATTGTGGGTGATCGCCTCCTCTGCTCCGAGGCTTGGCCTCAGGCCATGGTGTTTGGCAGAAATCAGGGATTTTTCAGAACATTAGAAGATGCCCACAACTGGCACTAGTGTATTTTTTTTTTTTTTTTTTGTCACTCTGAAGCACCTATGGAAAGTCCTGTGCTTTTCCATTGAGGAGAAAGCTTAGGAATGCTTTGTTTCATTCTAGGTCATTGGGCAGGTTCTTTGTTGAAATTGCACAAAAAGAAAAATGTTCCATTGAGTCCATAGATAGCAGTGATTCCCTTAGTGGTAGTGAAAGTCGTACTACACAATAACTCTCCTCTCTCTTGTCTCCCTCATACCAGTCACAACGGTTTTCAAAGGTAAGTGCAGGTGAATTTGTGTGCCTTTATATTTTTTATTTTCTATATTATTTTGTATCATATTACAAAATATATATGTACTTATTTTTATATGAATATATTTGGGTTGTGGAACGAATCACCTGAGTTTCCATCACTTCTTTCAGGGAATTCCCTTTGATATACAAGTACTTTGGATTACAAGCATGGTTTCAAAATGAATTATGCTCTCAAATCAAGGTTTTACTGTATTTATTTTCAAAAACAAATTTGAAAAAATACGTATAAAAAACTAATGTAACTAAACAGAAACAATTATGTCAGAAATGGTTCTGAAAAAACAGGAATAAAATTCTTAATGTCAGTGACATACCTCAGGGAAAAAAAAACTAACCTAGCTTTGCCATTAGTGATATTTCATTAGAAAAGGAATTAATAGGGGCACCTTGGTGGCTCAGTCGGTTGAGCATCCGACTTCGGCTCAGGTCATGATCTCACGGTTCATGGGCTTGAGCCCCACATCAGGCTCTGTGCTGACAGCTAGCTCAGAGCCTGGAGCCTGCTTCTGATTCTGTGTTTCCCTTTCTCTGACCCTCCCCTGCTCACGCTGTCTTTCTCTCTCTCAGAAATAAATAAAACATTTTTAAAAATTAAAAAAGGGAATTAATAACAGGTAGTGATACAGGCAAATATATCTGTTTTCAAAGTTAATTTCATGAATTTATAGTAGACAAGTTATAATTACTGCTGTTAGTGATTTCTCTTTTGCCTATGTTAAATTAAGAATACTTTTCTGAATATATTATTTCTCAGAGTGAAACATGCACTGAAGAGCTTTATGTGCAGCAAACAAACAAGAAATGTTTTGTATAAAGTGAATGTCACCACTGGGTTTTCAGCCATAAACTTGCTTGTGAATTTCTTTTCAGATGCGGTGGTAGGGAAAGTGAGATGGGGTGTCTGGTGCAGCACAATTGTTCTTACAAGTTCATCAGACATACACTCGATTTATGGAATACAGTATTTTTTCAATTTTAATTTTTTTATTCTTTAGTTTAGAGAGAGAATGTGTGAGTCAGAGAGGGGGCAGAAAGAGAGTATCTTAAGTGGGTTCCATGCTCAGCATGGGACCATCCTGAGGCTTCATATCAGGACCCTGGGATCATCATGACCTGAGCAGAAATCAAGAGTCAGACGCTCAACTGACTGAACCACTCAGGTACTCCTGGACTACAGTATGTTTAATGAAACAAACAAACACCACAGATTTAAGAAAGAATAAGGTTGTGGGAGAACACAACCTGATTTGTTTGATAAGTATATAGCTATATATTATGTGTCCCAGTT